ATGCGTGATGGCACATTGAAATCCAAGAGAGATGAGAGAGACAATAGTAAATGGTGATTTACTAATAGTGTTTGATATTGTTGATCTTTTATTGTTTCACCCTAGTTATTTGTGGTTAATTTTTATATGTTAAATGATTTTATTTTAATTTTATAATTTTATTTGTGCTCAGTTTTCACTATAATTTAGCTTAAAATCAATCTTCATATACACCCTAAAATATTTGCATCAAGTTTTTTTATGCCATCATCACTTATAAACCTTTATATATCATTTTATAAACCTTTATATATCATTTTATAAACCTTTATAAATCATTTTATAAACCTTTATAAATAACTTATAAACTTTTATAAACCTTTATAAATAACTTATAAACCTTTAAGATTTTTATTTTTTTGAATTGAATCTATTGTATCAATTACGTTATGTGTTTTTCTTTGTTGTTTGTATATTATATCGTGTATATTTGAAATTTTATTTGCTTTAATAAAACTAATATTGTATTTTTTAAAATAATTAAGAAGATAAATAAAAAATTATCAAAATTGTTATTTATATTGCTATTAAAAATATAAAAGATAACAATAATTATTTAAAAATGGTAGGGTAAGTTGTTGAATTTTATTAAACAAAACTATTATAGAGGTTAAAAATGAAATGGATGTTGAATAATTAGGTGGAAGAGAGAAAAGATGATGTAGAATGTTAAAAAGAGAAAAGTAGGATGTTACAAAATTAAACCATTGTAGATACTCTTACACAAATAAAATTCTTTTAAAATATTAAAATCAGAATTTACAACCATGCGTGGTCGAACAATCATATGCGTGTTTCTGCCTTAAAATACCTCTTCACTCGGAAGTACACGGTTCTTCCCATGAGCTTCACTCGGAAGAACACGGTTCTTACCATGAGACCACCACTCTTCTCTTCCTTTCCTTTCTTCTTTTATGCTCCGAAGGCCAAATTCTCTTTTCGCTAATCCTCTATATATTAATTGAGAAATATTTGAAAATTTTAAGTTTTTATTAATTAAAAAATAATCATATCCTATGTGGCACTTCTCTATGATTTATATTTCAGTTTAGAAGGATTCTAGAGAATCTAATACAAAATATAGTTTTAAAACAAGATCCGTTGGTCCATATACGACATATCAAACAAAATAACATATCAAACTAAATCTCCTATATATTATTTCTTAAATAAAACCTATGGAATTACATAATGTGATTAAGATATATATGACTATTAATGATTTTAGATAATAAAGATTTGTTAATAATATGTATACTTTATATCATTTTTGTATAATTTTTTATTATTAAAATAAATTACACAACTACACTAATCATATAATAAAAATTTTTTTTTTTTATATATGTTGTATTTTGAAATTTTCAAAACGAGTTTAAATTACTAAAACTGTTAAAAATCTCACATGAACTTTTGTGATCAAGGTCTAATTTTTTTTAATAATAAGTTACAATGATTATAAAAGCATATGAATAAATAATTTAATTTTAATAAGTTTTTATGTTTATATATATATATATATATATATATATCTCATATCATATGAATAAATAATATTATTTAAAAATAATTATAATTTAAAATTTAACTTAATTTTTTTATAAAATTATTTTTTATTTAATTTTTTTATAAATATAATTTTTAATATTATTAGAAAAATAAATAAATTATATTAAATTAATTTTGAAATTTTATATATTTTAAATGGAAATTTTATACCAACTGCATCTTAAGAAAACATTAGGGAACTTGATAATGCTCTAGCAATTAAGCTATGTGACATTCCGTTTATTTTCATTCACTCGAATACTGAAAATTGAAAATATATATGAATCATGCCCATTAAATTCTAAGTTTTAATCTACATTTCTAATTTCTAATTACAGTTGTTTTTGATGTTATGTATAGATAATTATATATAAAAAATCTAAAATTCCAAATACATATAAAAACAGTAATATGTAAATTTTAAATTTATCAATACTAAAATTGATGTTATCCTAGTTATTACATTAAAAAAAATGGTCATTTTAAGATCCACACTTTCATTACAGCCCCTTCACCTCTCTTCTTAATCCAATATTTCCTAGTAACTGCAACATCTAATCAACATTTGGTTTTAGCTAAAGAAGTCTATTTGATCTACTACTTAGCTTAATATCTTAAAAAATAAAAAATAAAAAATAATATAAATTCAAGATTAATTTTATTCGTTTGATCTTTGCTATGATTCTACAAAATGTCAACAAATAAAGGAAAGAGACAAAGTTAAGTATAATTCATGATGAGAATAAAGTTCCTTGGATAATTTGTTACAGCTTCACGCTACAGAAATCTGATGATTTCAATTGCAAACTTCCCTTTCTTCGTTTCATTGACCTCTCCAATCTGTGCATTAAAAACACAGTAACCACAAAACATTAATGTTTTCTGAAACCAAACACACTAACTAAACTCACTTCCAACCAATTTACCTTGAGTCTCCCTTTCCCACTAACAGAGACAATATCACCAGTCTTTACAGCGGTTCCGTTCTTGGTAACCGTTGCCCAGTTAACTCGAACGTCCCCACTACTGCAAGGCAACAAAGACGAACGATCCTTTTCAGCAAACATGAGAAGGCGATGGAAGATCAAAAAGAAAAGAAAGCCAAGTTACCTAATCAGATCAACTAGCTTTGACCTCGAAATCTTGAAACCAGCACTAGCTACTGCATCAATTCTCAACGAGGCTTCAATGGTTTTGAAGGAATTAGTCCTAACAAAACAAAAAGAATCAAGCCAATGCAGAAACTCATTTTGAAGGGAAGAAGGAATCATACCTAGGAGGTTCATATTCAAGAGCAAGCAGGGGTATCTTACTACAAGTTACAGAAACATTCCCAACCTATGAAAGATTCATTCACAAAAGGTCAGAGTACTGCTGAGAGAGATCTTGATTAATGGGTTGCAAAAATAAACAAGAAAGGTTAAACCTTGTCGAGAGCTGAAACAATAAAGTCAACAAGTTGAGGAACTATCAGGACCTGAGCTCCTTTTTCTTCCTTCAATCAAAGTCAAGTAGCCAAAGAAGCAATGTTAATGGAGCTGAAGAATGTTGTTTTACAGATGATATACCTGAACTAATATATCACCCAGCTTGTCCCTGGTGATTCCAGTGCCAAGAATGGCTCCAAGGAAGTCGGCATGAGAGCAAGCTTGAAACCCAAAATTCCCTGTGATACTAGAAATAAAACAGAAACCTCAGACAAAGAACAAAGCTCAAGAACTCATGAACTAGTTGTTGTTACCTCAAAGCTGCAACTATATCTGGATCACTGGTTAAGACATCAGGATGTCCAACCGAGATCCTACACCTCTCAGCCTAAGACAAAGACAAAAAGAAGCGTATCAACTTTGTTTAAGTTTACATTGTCAGAGATTAAAGATGTAAAAAAAACTGACCTCAGGGTAACCTCCCTGAGAAACAACTGCAACATCAGCAAGTTTACCCAAGACTGAAACTGATTCCTTGACAACAGGTGGTGTGAGAAAATCAGTGTGAAGAACTTGTCTTGTTGATGTTGCACGTCGTGCCTACAAAGTAGAAGAGAATCTCTGAGAGAATGAGACTGAAAGAGAGAGAGAAATTTAAAAAGAGAATGAATACCATTTCAAGGATGTGTTTAACTTCCTTAGCAACAGCTTGGTCTCCAACTCCTTTGAGGAGAAGCTCTACATCTCCTTTCATTGCTTTTGCAACGTGACATCTCCTCAAAGCTGCAATTTTTTTTGATTGAATCTAAGTTATAAGAATCAAATTGAACTTGTTCTTCGTTTAATAAGTACGATGGTGAATCAAGACTTTGAGACAAAACATGAAGTAGCTTAACAGAAGAAATATAAGAACCTGAATGTCGGAGAGGGGACGAAGGGAGGACAGTGTGATTGTGAGTTGGGTGAAGAAGATAAGAAGAAGAAGAAGAAGAAGAGGAAGCTGCGACTGTTCGGAACGCTTGTCTCAGAACGATCCATGGAGGTGCGAAGCTGGTGGCAGCCATAGCTTAGCTTCTCCTCTGAAAACTTTGTTAAAGAGTTAAAGCCTCTAAGACACCCAGAAGGTTTTTCAACATCTAATCCATACGGAAAATCTCTATTTCGCTAGAATGAATGTACAAAAAAAAAAAAAAAAAAAAAAAAAAAAAAAAAAAAAAAGAAGTGAAACAAATCAATTACTATTTTACTATTTCACATTTTAAGACATAGACTTTTGCTGCTCTATTAAGTGGTGGTAATCTACAAATTCTTGTTTGATGTTGAAGATTCTATGAGTTTTAGGGTCCCTTTTCATTCCATGTATCTGAAGCTACACAAAAGACTACTAATAGAAATGCTTTTTGGTTCCTAGGACTCAACAAAGAGATCATCAAAAGATATAAACTTTGAACACTACTGTCTTGTGTTTGGAGTCATGGATTTTCAAGATGGACAAGTCCACAAGTTGAACACCTTGACCTGATCCCCGTGCAAGAGCTTTTGCAGAGTGAACACGGTCATGATGTTTTGACCCATCAGCTTGGCAGTGTCATCGTCAGACATATATCTCTCTTTGGAGAGACTACTCCCATTTGCTTCTAGTATACTCCTTTTTCTCATTACTTCAACTCTCCAAAAGACAGATGAGTCCTTTTACATTTCCTCTTATTCTTATCAAATGTAAGAGAACACAATGAGGAGAGCGAGCTGGAGCGCAAATGCAGTGGAGGAAACACTCGAAACTCCCATACCCTGTAAGCTCTTTTACGCTTCAAGATGGCTTTGGGACAGCCTTATTTCCATTTTCAGGCTCTGACGATCTTCTTCGCTCCTAGATCTAGATCAGTTTTCAAAGACATGGCTAGGATCAGAAACTAGCTCAGTGTCTTGTAGATAGGTTACAGAACTAGCTAAATCAGCAAAATATTAGTGTGAATATGACACACAGATTAAAGATTACTTGTTTTTCAAGTTAAAACATGTACTATACATATAAAGACCATATATTCTTATTTACAAATCTATAGTAGCAATAGTGTTTCCACTTTTCCTCTACTCACTCCCTTTCCCAAAATTGTTTCCTATACCAATCAAACCAAGAATAAGAAACCTCTGAAAACTATTATTTCCCCCCCTGAGTCACATTGGTTCATACCATCTCCAGGATCTTGATGTTGCCGGTGGAGTTTGCAGCAACTAAAGTGGAAGACTGTCCGCGCCAGCAGACTGAAGATATGAACTGAGAAGGATCATCTACTTCAAGTCTAGACACAGGGTCTACAGTTTTGAACTTGTATGACAAAACCGGCATTGGAAATGCCTTGTGGTACACATAAACCTATCCAGCGAAGCCCAACAAAGTCACGTTTATATTCAACAAAGGGATCAAAGGTTTTTTTTAGGAACAAACTAAGATAAAAATAGACATACCTCATTAGTCTCCGAGCCTGTTGCTATATAGCCGTCAGAGACCGATAATCCGACAAAGTTCTAAAACACGACACAATGCAAGTACATAAAAGTGTTTATCATCTAACAAATAGCAGGGCTTGAAATGAAGCAAAGTTCCAACACATGAATATGTACCTTTACATTAGTATGTCCCATGAATGAGTGAACAGGCGCTTCATTAACACCAGAAACAGACATGGATAAGTCCCATAGCTTCAGAGTGTTATCCGTCGAAGATGACACAAGTGTTGATGAATCTACAAACCTGACATAACTTACTGTCTTGGTGTGACCAATCATTGTGCAAAGAGGTAGCTTAGGGTTCCTCAAATCATAGTAGTAAACTCTGTGATCTGCTGAACCAAATGCTAATGACCGACCAGAGTCTGACGGAAACTGGACACAACATACATTTGCCTTTGTCTTAATTGTTCCAATACTGACCCCCTGAAACCACATAAAAACAACTTCAACCATCAACAACGTACATCCCTTGAAAAACTAAACTCTCAGAAAAAAACCGGGTTTTAAGTACATGTTGGTTTAGTTTAGAGTTTTGCCTGATTGATACTCCACAGCTTAACAGAACCATCATCACTACCACTTGCTAACAATGTTGGATCTGCTGTTGATATATCAATGGACCATACACGCTTCTCATGCTCCTTCATCTCTGTAACTAACTGTCCTCTGGTAACATCCCATACCTAAACATATAATACTTATGCCCTTAGCCATTAATCATATCATAAGAACATAACTTCAATAAAACAGAACAAACCTGAACCACGCCTTCAAAGTTACACGATGCTATTTGGCTCTTAATGTAGCTGTTCCAACATACACCACTTAGCTTAGACCGACTAGCTAGCTCCACCACCGGGTAGTGAATGTCCCTGCCATCCTTTATTATAGACTCACATTCAAATATCTTGATTTTCTTGTTGACACCAGCTGTGGCGAAAAGCTCCCCATCACGGTCAAACCCAATTGCACAAACGAGGTTAGCTGAGTTCAACAAGTCTCCTTGTTTCAAATCTGCTTTCACTCTCAGCTTACTGAAAGTCAGATACTTGCACAAGCCCTCTAGGAATGGATCTATCCACCCGCCTTGTCTAGAATCATTCATGTGATCTCTAGATGGTTGTGTCAGGTTGCTTACTGAACTTTTACCATCACTACTCAACGCTGAAGAGTATCTGGCCAACGGTTTAAAAGAAGCAGCAGCCTTGATCTGTCTGTATCTTGTTGCAAAGTAGACTGATTCCAGTTTCTTGAAATTTCTCATTAACCGAGAGCTTTCAAGAAGCGTGCTGTCTAGAGTATCATCAACAATGTTATCCTCATTTTCCTCTGTTGCAACTCCCTCAGCTCCTTGTCTAATCCGTTTTCTTGAGACCAAGAAAGAAAGGACATCATTTCCTTTTTGCTTCAAGCTCAGCTGTCTCTTTAGGACTTGATCAATGTCGGAAGAAAGAAGAGAAACCGTATCACGCAACTTGTCTGCAGTTTCTTGCTTTCTTTGTTGAATCAGAAACAAGAACTCAAGCAGTAACTCCTGTTCCTCGATTCTTTCCCTTAGCTCTATCGCAGCTTCACGTTCTTCTAAACTCTCTCTTGGTTCATTGATAAACTCACTTTTCAGCAACTCACTGCACCAGTAGAGAGAAGACACTATAAGCAAAAAACCTTTCACAATGAAACAAAACATAAAAGAGAGAATCAATCACCTCATCGATGGTCGAAAGCTAGGCTCAGGGTGCAGTAACCACAAGCAAAAGGAAGCTTCTTTAGGCCACTTGAGCAGTATTTGAGGGGGAAGAACACGATGTTTTAAGCTAGACATAGTTCTTGACTTCTCTTCTCTGGAGGAGACAGGGCAAAACAGCTGCACAACAATTAACATTCATCAGTTCTCTCAAGAAAAACAAAAACATCTAAAAACATATTATTCACAAACCTCAAAGAGAAGAACCCCAAGACGGTAAACATCAGAAGCACAACCACTATGAGAGCCAGTATCTTCTTCAGGACTTGTGTACCAACTCATCTCCATTGCCAAGATCTCTTTCATAGGAAAAGGTTGCTTCTCTTCTTGATACTCCTCTTTTCTCGAGCCACCAATCTCTTGAGACTTTCTTGTTGTTGTTGTTTTTGTATCCTTAGCCCTTTCCTCATCAGACCCGGAATCCGAAGCGGATTCAATAAACGAAACGCGGTTGAAGGAAGACATAACGAAACAAGAAGGCCTGACATTATGAACAACAATGCCTTGAGAGTGAGCTGCATTCACAATCTCAACGATTTGTCTGAAAACATGAAAACACTCAAACGCATCCACTGATCGTTCTGGATTGTCTAACCACTGACGCAAGCTAACATCTTCACATTTCAAAGCTCTCACATTAATATCATCATCAGCTCTCAAGTTGTCTTCTTTGTGTGAACCAAGTAAGCTTCTAACATAACCAATATGAGACAAAGACTTAGAACGATCTGCAATGATTCTCTCAGCTGGTAAGAACTCTGAAACACCAGAGGTGTTTAATCCTCTAGAGTTAGATTCTGAAGAACCCTCCATCTACTTAATTTGATAAAACCATCAAGCACAAGCTAACAGGAAACTACCAAATACACATGAGACAAGCACAAGCTAACAGGAAACTACCAAATACACATGAGACAAGTTTTCAATCCTTCACTACTTCATGTCTTAAGCTAGAATGGAGAAAGCAAAGAGATTTTAGATAGAAAGTAATGATTTTTAAAGGACCCTTTTGACAGAAAACACCAAACTCAGATATAAAAATGCAGTCTTTGATAACATAAAGAGACAAACACAGAGGAAGCTTTTTGGCCACTAAACAATAGAAGCAATAAAAGAAAGGTGGAAGGAGAAGAAGAAGATAAGAAGTACTTTGGGGTTTAAGAGGCACCGAGAAACTCGAACCACACATCGCCAAGGAAGCAACAGTTCGGTTGTTTTTTGGGCCTACGAGCTTTTACTTCATAGTGAGGGTTTTATTGATTGGAATCTCTTCTTCCTTCTCTTTCCACGCAAGCAACGTGGTGAAACGACGACCTAGGAATATACAGAACGTAAAAGGCTCAACCTTTTCTTTTTCTTTTTTTTTTGTAATCGGTTTGGCTCAAATGTATAAATTAGTCAAGCTATAGGGTCAATAATGATAAGTGGGGAATTTGCAATTACAATTAGTTCTGAATACCACACTATTTTCAATTAGAATTGACTAAACCTCATAGTTACTTCATTAATTTCATAAGTAAAAAATGTAAAAATTTTGATATTCTTTTTTAATTTAAGAAATTCTGGACTGAAACACATAGAAAAACACAGGTTGCTAATCTCTCCCCTGCAAAAAGGGGTACTTTTGAAAAAAAAAACAGTGGTGGCTTTTCTAGAAAATTGGTTAGTCAAAATTAGTATTTGGTAAAAATAAAAATTAAACACATAAACAAAGCACAATTTACCTGTCCTTCTTGACTTCTTTCATCCCATTATTTTTGTAAGCCTGTACTATGAATCTAAGCATGTTACATGATGTACCATACTAGAACAAAAAAAAAAAACAAATAAGCATATAACGAATAGTTGATAAATGACCGAAATAACATATATTAAAATGAGAATGAGAACAATAACAAAATAGTTGAAGACCTAACAAAATGGTTGAAGAGAAGACCTAACAAAAATAAATAAATATATGTACTACTATTTGAATAACAAAAAGAAAACAAAATTGTTTGTATTATTGTTTTGGTGTATGGAAGAGAATGTATTGGTGGGAGCGTTTAATGACCAGAGGGAATTTCCATTTCCATGTAATGGATTGAGACAAGTCTACAGTGGAGCAGAAAAAATCAAAACCACATGTCTTGGAACATGCCACGTGTATTTTCTAATATCTATTCTTTTTTCTAGTATCTATGATTAGATTACAAATTTTCTAGACAAATTGTTTAAAATACTTTATTGGCTACCATACTTCAAAACTACATTTAATGAAAATATCATAACAGTTAAGTTTAATATTTATTGGTTATTATTTAAGATTTAATATTTAGTGGTGAAGTTGAATTTATAAATTTTTATAAATAGTTTATAAGTTATTTAGAAAAATTAATCTAATATTTTTTATCAAAAATTTAAAACAATTATGAAAATAATTATCATTTAAGGATAAATTAAAAATCTGATATCAAACTTATGATAAAATTGAAATTTTCTCAAATTTCTATACATGATTGATATAAACAGATATACATTAAAAAGTTTTCTTTAAAATTTTTTGGTAACTTCCACATTTCTCAAAATGGACCATATTTTCATACATCATCAAAGTATCGTTTAACGGAATATATATGTTTTAAACAAAAAAAAACAGAACATACATGTAACTATCTTTAATTGAATTTGTTACAATATTAATTTGGGAAAAAGTTTCTCAACTACACGAAGTCTACTTTATTATGGTGAAAACCATCCAAACTATTAAAATGTGTCAACAGTTACACCAAGTTTATGTTAATACATGCCACATATACAAAGTAAATGATTATATGGTGGGAACATCACAATCGGATTTAATTGATTTTAATTTAAGTTAATGGGGTCAATCTGTAATTTATTAAACTTAACCCCAAATCATTAAAATCAATTAATTCTATTAGTAAAATAAATTAATGAAATCAATTTTATTAATAGCTTATTAAATTTACTAAGTTTATTAACAAAATCAACTTTATTAAATTAATTTTATTAAGTTTAATAAATTTATAAGTTTAATAATTCATTCATTTTAATAATTTCTTAAGTTTAATAAACTTATTATGTTTAATAAATTATTAATTCTATTAAGTTTAATATATTACTAATTTTATTAAGTTTATTAAACTATTAAGTATATTAAGTTTATTAAACTATTAAGTTTATTAAACTATTAAACTTTAATAAATTTATTAAACTAATTAACCATAATAAACTTAATTATATATTAAATTTAATAAATTTAGTAATATATTAAATTTATTAAATTTAGTAATATATTAAATTTATTAAGTTTAATAAATTAATAATTTATTAAGTTTAGTAAACCTAATAATTTTTTTAAAAACTTAATAAACTAAATAAACTTAATGAAGTTAATAAATTTATTAATAAAATTAGTAAACTTAATTTCTTATTTTAATAATTTGGAGTTAAGTTTAGTAAATTACAAATTGATCCCATCAACTTATAGTAAGATCAATTAAACCCGGCTGCGATGTTCCCACCATATAATAATTTACTTCATAGATGTGGCATGTATTAATATAAACCTCGTGTAGTTTTGATACATTTGTATATTGGATGGTTTTCACCATATTATAGTAAATTTCGTGTAGTTGAGAAACTTTTTCCCTATTAATTTTGACGAGATCTGTCTTCATATATTTTTCTATATGTATATCAAAGAAAATATTTCACATCAGAAACTGATGCGATCCTGATCAGCTATATACTCAAGGACATGAAGTTAATACATGAAGAAGATAGATAATGGATCATGAAGTTAATACAGGAAGAAGATAGATAATGGATCATGGCACGTCCTAATAGGGTTCATAGGAGAGCGTATTCACCTGATTCTTGAACTATTAGACTAAGAAAAGATTATGGATCTTGATGCAGTCTTTATAAAGCATGGACTGAATTTGGACAACCATGAACGACCTCTGACCGACCTCGTTAATCAGGAAATGGGTTGGACAAATTTGGATGGACAAAAGGTAGAGTGGTTAAATAGACATAATCGAGAAATGGAAGGGTGTAACCGAAATGGTCGGGAAATTGTTTGGAAATGGAAGAGGAAGATCCAGAGCTGGAAATGGAGAAACAAGAGCATCTTCATAGTCCAAATGAACTTGACGAACAACATGGTCGGATAAGATTTGAAGTGCAATGAGCCCAAAAGAGTTGGTCGAAAAAGACCTTTATTGGCCAAAAAATTGAAGGATAAGCAAGTTTGGTTTATGTTTGGTACAAGAAGATTAGCTATTACTAACATAGTCTAATTTACGTGTTTTGGATTTATTATTCATGTAAACCCAGTTGGGATAGGTTTTGGGCTTTATAAACCCGTTAGGAGTCTTTTGTTATAGTAAACCAATTAGCAATAGGATTAATTTTGGTTTTTCTAAACCACATTGGTATATGATTAGGATTTTCTATTTTATGTTTTTAAACAAAAGTACCACGTCCTGTAACAATTAACCATCTTTTTATCAAATTTCTTTTGTGATTTTATTTTTGTTCTTCTTGAACAATCTATTGCTGGTGCGTCATATCATGCATTCAAACTAAATCAAATTTGGTGTGTCATATCCAAGGATGATTGTTATAGGGTATATCAGAAACCATTCCACAACTTCTGTGTGAACTTTCAATCCACTTTTCCTTAGTTGTTGGTGATAACAACCAAGGTTTATCGTCGCTATCCAAGAGATCTAACAAGCTCTTGATCAATTTCACCCACGTTCATTCAAATGTTCCAGGGAAAGACAGTCTTTCCAGGACCATATCAAATGGTATGAGAGCCTTTTAAAAGTTGAGGTTAATATGGTTTCACCAACACATTCATCAACATAACTGTTTTCCTCTTTGAAAACTAAAGGAGAGATCGCTTGGGAAGAGAGGAAGAGAAACTACCAAAAAAAACAAAATCAACAAACCTTAGGACCTTGGTTGACACCACACAGTTCAACATGGTCATACCTAAGGTTTTTTGTGGTAACCGAAATTCGCACTATCGATTTCCGTAAAATTAAGAAACTTAGGAAAACCCTAATTTTCCAGAGGTCCCGGATCTCTGCGAGAGAGCGAATAAATGCGGAAAATATGAAAAGCATGATAAAACAAATTTATAAAGAAAATAGATCTTATTTCGAATCCACATAAGAGCGTTACGATTATCACAAGAGATTACAAAAGCTTTGGCCGCAAGAGCTGTCAGCAAGTTATCTAGTTCTAGCAGCCTAAACCTTAAACCTAGTTGAGTCTCAGCTTGATAACAAAAGACGAAAAAGATATGAAAAGGGTTTTGATTGATTTCGGACTGAACCTTATGAAAAGCTGCATACGTACCTCTTTCGAGGATCAAGTCGAACGTAGTTCAATTGATAGAGCTGTTCAAGAGATCGAACTGCCTGGGCGAGTTCGTCTATTAATTGAGTGCCAGTCATAGAAACCGAACTTGTCTAGAATAAAGTCTAAAGTTTCTAAGTGCAGAGAGTTCTAAGTTTTAAAAAGGTTGTAAAAATTATCTCCTTTCTTCTTGGCTTCGACCCTCTCCTTATATACTCTTCTTCTAGGCGGAGTAGTCTTTCCTTTTCCACCTTGATTCGTGTTTACCGGAAATCTTCCAATTATCTCGATCTCCATATTTATCCTTTGAAAACTTTTATTTATCTTCAAACTTGACATTTATCTCTTCCTGCAAACAACGGATAAACCGTCATCATATCCTTGGGCTGGATTTCGTCTAAAATCATAAGTGGGCCTTTATTGCGTTTTAGGACCTTTCGGGCTGTTTTGCGTCTTAGCCGTTTTACGATTTCAGACAGGATCGTTCCATGATACGATGCCGTTTTTATAACACCTATCGATCCAATCATATAGTTTGGTAACCTCCGGTGTTTCGTTTAACCGTTGCCATTTTATATGATTTACTCGGGCCGTTTTGCGTCTTAGCCGTTTTACAATTTCAGACGGGATCATTCCATGATACGATGCCGTTTTTATAAAACACCTCGATCCAATCATATAGTTTGGTAACCTCCGGTGTTTCGTTTAACTGTTGCCATTTTATA